GGGGGGGGGGCAAGGTAGAGGCAGGGAGGCTATGGCCTGGAATCCAGGAGAACAGCAGAAGCCTGTACAATGGATCACTTTGGCTGAGCCCCGTGACTGCTGCCTTTGCAGGAGACCAGTTCTCCTGTCCAGTACACTCCTGGAGTACAGGGGAAGAGGTGGCTGGAGACATCTTAAGACACAGGTTGGTGCTGGAGTGCCCCTTCTACTCTGAGAGGGATGGAGAGAGGAACAGAAAGCCACTTTTCCTAGTGTCCCAGGGCATCTACTCTGAGTATAAATGGGCTCTGGCTCCAGTCCCAGGGCCTTTAGGCAGTGCTTGATAATACCTTCCCTCATTCCCATCTCTATTGCATGGTGTCACCAGAGGAATGGCCGATGGCTGGCGGGGCTGGACAATCGCCATGAGGAACGAGGTCCAGTGGGCGGAGCTAGCTGGTCACGACTACGTGCTGGACCTGGTGTCAGACCTAGAGCTTCTCAGAGACTTTCCAAGACAGAAGTCATACTTCGTTGTGGGTGCAGAAGGACCTGTAGCTGGAATGGGAAGCCCTAGAGTGTAGGTTGCAGCCTGGGCAGCCTCACACAGATAGTCCCCTAGGTAGAAGGCTGCCTGCCCCTGCCAGCTGCTAGGTGAGGCTTCTGAAGGGAGTGGAGCTCCAAAAGACCTGCCATTAAAGAAAGAAAGTTGCCCACTTTGCGGGCACAGGAGAGAATGAGGGGTGGGTTATTTGTGAGCTATGGATCTCTCTGGGATTTGGTTGCCCCATGTCCCCCTTTCCCACAGGGTGTTTGGGAGCAACTGGGACTCAGATGAGGATGCACCCACGAGGCCTCAGCCCCAGGAGCATGTGCCCCAATTGCCTGACACCCATGAGTATTGCAGCCACAAAGAGGATGGTACAAAGGGGAACACTGGAGCCCAAGGGGGGAACACCATCAGCCAGGCAGCCACTGTGTGCTGAGGAGGGATCCTGGGGCTTGTGAGGATGATGAGCAGCAGGAGATAGTAGCTTGGCTTTCTTGTGTCCCTCAGCAGGTTGGGGCAAGTGTGCTGAGCCTGTTGTGCCCCATAAAGGGCTGGACTGCTACCTGGACAGTCTCTTCAACCCCGTGCTGTCATGTGGAGAGGTGGTATGAGGGCATCTGCCCACAGGAGGCATGGGCAACTAGGTCCAGGGAGTCTTGCCAGTCTCTGCTGAGAGCCAGGCAATTTGGGACCAGGAATCTTGCAGTTACAAGTCTGTTCCACTCTACCTGGGGAAGAACCATCCCTGTGGTGTCAGAGAGCTTTCTCTCTGAGAGGGTCCCAGGGCCCTGCAGCCCCCGTCAGTCCCTTTCTCATTCAGAGAGTTCTAGGCACCTCCAGGGCCCTGGATGTACTGTGCTGCTGGATTAGGCCACTCTTTGGGCCTCAGTTTATACCACTGTGAAATGGGATAGGTGAGTTTGGAGCAGGCAGAATTGTAGGAAGATTAATTCCCGGCCACATGGGCAGAGGCTGGTTGAGCAGTGTTAGCTAAATAGGGAACAGTGTTGGGGACATGGTGGTGTCAGAAATACAGAAATGTGTTGAAATACAGTCCTGAGCCTGTCTCTTACCCATCTATTGTTGCCTTAGGACCTAGAGAAACCGAAAGTCATCATCTCCCACATGAAGGGGGGTGGCCAGCCTAGTGGAGACAGTAGTGGCAGCACTCAAGATTCCCCCAGAAGACCCCCAGAACCAGAACCAAGTCAGTGCTTACCCAGGGGGTCTACACACTGGGTCCTGCTGAAGTGGGGGCTGTGTTTGGAAATCCTCACCTCCCTATCCCTTCTAATTTCACTTCCTTCCTGTCTCTGGCCTGGCCCAGCAGTCCCCAGACTGGATGCCTCCACACTGGCCCTGCAGCAAGCCTTCATCCAAAAACAGGCCATGCTGCTGGTGAGTATGGGGCATGCCGCTGGGGGCACAGATAGGCTGCCTTGTCCCAATAGGCCCTCTCCTCAGGCCCGGGAGATGACTCTACAGGCCATGGCACTCCAACAGCCCCCTCTGAGCCCTACCCCAAGACCACTGCACTCCAAGGTGAGCCATCTAGAAACCAAGGATCCTGCCTTTGGCAGATCCAGGGTCCCTGAGGACAGGTAGGGGGCTGGAGTGCCCCCAGCTGCATGCCTCATGCGCTGCTCCTCACAGACATCCTTAGTGCCAGAGTCATGGCTTAAGTCCATGGGCACTGGGCCTCCAGCCAAGCCGGTGCTTCTGCGTGCCACCCCAAGACCTGTGGCTCCAGTACCCCCAGCCAAAGATCATGGTTCCCTGACCAAGTCCAAAGTTGTCCCCATTCCAGCTCAGGACCAGTCTTCTCTAGAAACAAGTGAGTGCCTTATCCTCTCTTGGAGGGGCTTCCAGGGGAGGATTGGGTGTGGCCCCTCCAGTGACCTCCTTCTATTCCCTACTTTGCCCCTACAGCCTCCCCAGACTTGGTCAGGCATTCAACACTCAACTCTGAGCATTTTCCCCAGCCCACACAGCAGATCAAGGACATTGTGCGACAGTACCAGGCTCCCAGGGGAGGGCAGCCCAAGGCCCTCAGGTCAGCCCTGCTTCCACTGACCTCCATTTCTCAGACCCATGTTTGCCATTGGTGGGAGCCAGCAGCCTGCTGGCTTATGCAGTGCCAGGCTCAGCCTGCTCTCTCTAAGAAGGGAGTACATTTTTGTAGACAGACCAGACAAGGCCCCTGTGGCAGAGAGGCCCAGACTCCTGGTTGTGCTTGTGACCTCAGTTTGGTCACTTTCCTCATTTATAACACTGAGGGGTGGGGGGTGGTGAGGAGGAAGGTCCCCATTACAGGAATTTACAATGAGGAAGGAGAGACTCCGTGTCTAGTCCACCATGACACCAGTGTTATTCAGGAAGGACGGTGGAAAAGTGTTTGTGAAGCGGCCAGACCCCCATGAGGAGGCCCTGACTCTCCTGAAGGGACAGATGACTTACCCATCGGTAGCACCTGGCATCCAGGTGAGAGGGCTCCTGAACTCCCTTGCGAGGTCACCCGCAAGGCTGTCCTAGGGGCAGGATGAGAGTAGAAGTCAAAGCCAGGCCTCAAGGGTGACCTCAAAAAGCAGCTACCCCACAAGCCTGGGTCCTGATGTCTGCTCCCCTGCTGTCCCCTGACTGCTTCTCCTGGGGGTGGGGGCACAGGTGCCAAGAGAGACTGTGGCCTTGGTGAAACCAGTGACCTATGGGCTGAAGCCACCTGCGGGACCCACAGCAGGTGAGGAGGCCAGGATGGAGGTGGAGCAAGTGGAGACAGCATTGTCAACACATGTGGACCTTTGTACGTGTATGTTGTGTGAATGTTTGAGTAACACTGGTCACAGGCGAGGCCAACCTGGAGCCCGTACATTTGCTTACTCTGACTTCTCTACTGCTCTGCTGCTACTCATGTCAGGTTGGAACAGCCTCCCACTGACAATAGCTGTAAATTGCTGCCTTCCTTCCCCAGAGCAGCTGGTGGGTTCACACCTCAAAGACCCTGCCTTCGGTTACCAGCGAGGCTCTGTACAGACTGTGGGCTACACCAGAGCCCTCACTGACATTTCAGACCTAACACCCCTCAGGGAAGCGCCTCTTGTGTACACTTTACAGATGGGGAAGCCCAAGGCCATGCTGCTCAGAAAGTGCAGAACAAGGATAGAAAATCTCAGCATTCTGGCATCAGAATTTACACACCCTTTTCCCCATCATAGTCTTAAAACCTATGAATTAGCTCACATCAGTTGCTGGGTAATTCCTGTACTGGTCACTGTGGTCTGAGACCATGCATGTTCCGCCTACCTCCCCAGCTACACCTTTTCCCACTCTTCCCTGGGTTGTCATCTGTCCTTGGATCTTCCTGGAACATTTTGAGTTCACTCCTTTACACTTGCTGTCCTCTCTGTCTGGAATGCACTGTGGCAGATCTTTGCCACCCTTCTCACTGGTGGCACCTTCTCAGACATGCCTGTCCATGCCACCTGGCTGAAGGACCCTCACAGGTTGGCTCCCGGACACCTTCCTGCCCCATGTCTTAGCACAAGCTCCTTTTCTGTGAGGATTACCTCATTGTTTTCAGTTCCTTGCACGAGGCCTGTCCCAATAGGCCCTGTAATATGTGTTGAATGAAGGCTTTGTTACATGCACATATACCCAAGTGAGCAGGTGTTTCTGTGGGCAAAGATGCAGGCAAGTGTTCTGCATCCCCTTGCAAGGGTGGTCACAAACCCTGCCCTCTACATGCCCACTCATCCTCTTCCTTCAAAGTCATACCCCTTCTTCCCACCCCAGCACTACCCGGCCAGTCTCTGGAGGCCCTTGAGGAGCCTATTCAGACACGACTACATCGGCTGCTCAATCCCAACTTCTATGGCTACCAGGATGCTCCCTGGAGGCTCTTCCTGCGCAAGGAGGTATCTAGCCTCTCGGAATAGAGTGGGCAGGAGAAAGCAAGAGTGCTGTCAGTGTGGGAAGTGGGCAGCAAGGGGAAAGTCCACTGGGCATGGCTGTAGTGAGGGTGTTGGGGAGAGTGGTAAGCAGAGGGAAGGGGAAGCCTGAAGGGTCCTGCTGAAGCTTCCCTCTGCAGGTGTTTTACCCCAAGGACAACTGCAACCACCCAGTGCAGCTTGACCTCCTGTTCCGACAGGTGAGGGCTCCCTGTCCCTTCCTCTGTGTCTTCCGCAGTAGGCAAAAGACACTCAGACAGTCAGTATCCAAATTCTGCTTCCTGCATTCTGAGGTTGGCCTCTTGAGCTGTTGAATTGTTCTACAGAATCCTCCTTCCCAGCAGACAGGATTACCAAGCCCCAAACCCTACTAATCCAAGTTGTAACTTGTTCAATGCCTGCTGTGAGGAAGAGGCACCCTCTGTGTGGGATGTGGTCAACACACCTACAGCCCAAGCAGAAGCCCTTTCCCACTCATCCCAGAGCACCCTGCCCTCCACAGATCTTGCATGACACGCTCTCTGAGGCTTGCCCGCGCATCTCCCAGGAGGAGCGTCTTCAGATGAAGGCCCTGTTCGGTACTGAGGGGAGGGGATGAGTGTGGCCAGGCCACTTGTGTGACATAGGCTCTCCACCCCTTTGGCTCTGGTCTTTTCTCCAGCTCTGGGGCCAGCTGCCCGGGGTGGACAGTGATAACACACTGATCTGGTCCTTCCCTGCTGGGTGAGCACTTCTCATTCGGAGTTGAGAAGGCCCTGACCCCTGTGGTCTCCCTTAGCCCAAAATCACCTGGATACTCAGCGGCCCCTGGTGACGGAGAATGTGAAACGGGCCGTGGTCAGCACTGCACGTGACTGCTGGGAAGTCTACTTCTCCCGCCTCTTCCCAGCCACGGTGCGAGTCCCCTGCCTTCCCCCAGCACCCAAAGGACTCAGATCAGAGGCTGGATGACCCTCATGCCTCTCATCCTTGCCACAGGGCAGTGTGGGCACCGGCATACAGGCCCTAGCTGTATCCCACATGGGCATCAAACTCCTGAGGATGGTCCAGGGTGGCCAGGATGCCAGCAGAGAGCTTCGGGTTCTTCGTACTTACAGGTGACCAGCAGGTAGCATTAGGTCGGCTTAAAATTGGGGCTCAGACCCACTCCGTAGCCACTTACGTACTACCTAGATATGCTAGACTCTGTACCAAGCCTTTTAGTCAAGCCCACTTTAGGGACGGGGAAACTGAGGCTCAGAGAGTTCCCTGTCTCAGATTGTACAACCAGGAAGTAGATGAGTTAGGACTGTAACTCATGGATGAGTTAACTGTATAGGAGAATGAGTGCCCTGGCAGTGCCCATGCCTCCAGGACAAGAGGGGAGTCCTGACTGAGGCCTTGCTGGTCCTCCCTGCCAACAGGCCTTTTGCCCTTTCTCATGCAAGGACAGGAAGCTCCCTCGTGCATTGGCTCACTGAAAGCCCCTTGCTTTGAAGTGTACAGAGAATGTGATCAGTGCTCATAAGAAATAGATTGTTCTAGCTCTAGAGCTTGCACAATCTGGGAGACTGGGCCACATGGCAAGGGCAGAGGTGTTGGGTTCAGAAGGGTTAGGAAACAACCCAGTTGGGTCAGGAAATTCTCTGGGTCTGTGAAGGGGACTGATGTAATGAGGCTGAGAGCATGAGGTGGTGGAGAGGAGAGGCTTGAGTTGGTGTGAAGCTAGAAGAGAAGAGAAGGTTAGGATCAAAAAGGGCAGGATTGGAACATGGAGGAGGTGCCCTTCTGACCATAGACCTCACCTTCATGCTACTTCACCAACTGCCAGCTTTGCAGACATCCTGTTTGTGACCATCCCCTCCCAGAATATGCTGGAGTTCAACTTGACTAGCGAAAAAGTCATCCTCTTTTCAGCTCGCGCTCACCAGGTCAAAACTCTGGTGGATGACTTCATCCTGGAGCTGAAGAAGGTTGGAAATCTCCTCCCACCCACTGCCTCTCTTTTCCCCAAGGCTTTCCCACCCTTTGTACCATCTATGCCTGCTTGAGGAGTGCCAGTGCACTAATCCAGGCACCAACCAAGGCTGTCCTTTCTGCCTGTGTGTACCCTGTCACCTAAGAAATATTCCTTTCCTATTTACATAGAGGGAAGGGCAGAATAGCCTTAGGCCTCTGGGAGCAAGGGGTAGACAGCAGCTCCTCACTTAGCCCTGCTGACCCAGGATTCGGATTATGTGGTGGCTGTAAGAAACTTCCTACCTGAGGACTCGACATTGCTGTCTTTCCACAAGGGCGATATCATCCACTTGCAGCCCCTGGAGCCACCACACACAGGTCAGCACCATGGAGTGGATGGGCGCAGGAGAGAGGCTGGACATCCCTTGCCCGTGTGCCTTGGTGGAGATGGGGAGCAGGAGTGGGGCTAGGCATCACTCACCCATGTGCCTTGGGGGAGACAGGGCACAGGATAGGGGCTGGGCATGTACCTTCCTGCTTGTGTTAAAGAAGCTTGGCCCACAGGCTACAGCTCTGGCTGCGTGGTCCAAAGGAAGGTCGTGTACCTGGAGGAGCTGCGGCGTGGAGGGCCTGACTTTGGTGGGCACACAGGAACTCTGTTCCTCTTCTCCTCTCCACCCTGCCCCACCCTTACTCATCTTGATCTCATGCTTTCATACCACAGTGCACTAAGGTGGTTTCTGGCTGGCCCAGATATGCCTCCCTTGGCCTACCAGTTCCCCCAGGCCAGCCCTGTCCCCTGGCTGGGCAGGAGGTTTCCACGAATGTTACTGTTTCTAACTTTGTGGCCCACGACCCTCTGTCTCCTCAGTTTTTTGCTCCACCTCCTACTACCGTTCGGTGGCTTCTCTTCCCTGAACCTCTCAGTAAATAGCTATAAAGGGCAGAGCCAAATACTTTGGTGAGGCCAGACCAGGGTGCTCAGGGAAGGTGGTAGAAGCTGGGTTATGGTTGAGAGCCCAGTGGTCAATCTAGAGGGCTTCAATTGAGCTGCTGCTCCACCCCTCCTGCAGAGTACTGATGAGTTTCCTCATCAGTAAATCAGGATGCCTGGCAAGGCCTTCCTGGAGTTTAGGGAGGTGTCCAGGGCATAACCAAATAACCTTAAAGATCTTCTCAGTCGCAGGGCACCCCCTCCTTTGCCTTAGACCTCTCACCTGCCCCTTAGGCTGGAGGTTCGGGACCATCTACGGGCGTGTGGGCCGCTTCCCCTCAGATCTGGTACAGCCTGCTGCTGCTCCCAACTTCCTACAGCTACCAGCTGAGCCCAGCAGGGGCCAGGCTGCAGTTGTGGCTGCAGCTGTCGCCTCAGCAGCAGCTGCTCAGGAGGTGGGCCGCTGGAGAGAGGTAAGGTCAGCAGAAGTGAGGTAGGCTGGTCTACGGTGGAGTGGGTCAGCTGAATGCCAAGCATTTGGCCAGGTCCACAGAGTATAATCAAAGACCAAATATAGGAGTGAAGAGTAGCAGTCAGCAGAGACCAGGGGAGTATGTGGCTTAGCCAAAGCCTGGAGGAGGTGGGACCAGCCTTCTGCCTCCAGGCGGTGAAGTAGCCTGGGTTGGGATGGGGTCAGGCTTCTGGAAGTCAGCTGGGACAAGACATTTGGGAGACCAAATGGAGCAGGCCTGAGACTGCTGAGGGCATGGCTATAGAGGGCAGAGCTGAATGCTTTGGTGAGGCCAGACCAGGGTGTTCAGGGAAGGTGGTAGAAGCTGGGTTATGGTTGAGAGCCCAGTGGTCAGTCTAGAGGTATTCAATTGAGCTGCTGCTCCACCCCTCCTGCAGAGTCCTGTACTCAGGGTGAGCTCCCCAGATCTCCTGGAGGACACTTTGGCTTCTCCACAGCACACTATGTTGGAGTTTGCCCGGAAGTATTTCCGAGACCCACAGAAGAGACCCCAGTGAGTGATAGCCTCATTTTTTTTCATTCTACTCACTCTCTGGAGGGGTGGGTCCTTCTGAGCGTCCTTTCAGCTGGTCAAGCTATAAGCCACATAGCCAAAGGGCCTTTACTTCTGGACAAATGAGAAACCCCCCAGGTCCAAGGTTTGGCCTCTGCCTTGTGTGTATACTAGTGGGGTTAAGGCTGGCTGTGGAGGGAAAGGCCAGACACCTTGAGGTCATTCAGCTAGCAGGGTGCTCTCTTCTTCCACAGGGATGGCCTCAGACTACCACAGAAGGAGTGTCAGGAGTCCCAATCTCTGGAGGCCATGCTTTGTTTCACCAAGGTGTCCAGCCCTAGTCCTGTTTCCTCCTCTCTAAAGTGGTCAAGCAAGAGTTTCCCCAAGCCCCCAAGGCAAACAAAGGCCAAGAAGGGCCAAGAGACCCCTCATAGAGCCCTGGGGCAAACAGCCCAACCTGAACAAGACCCCCTTTCAGGCCCATCCCCCAAAACTCACTTGAGCTACCCTTCTGCTCTGACTTACCCTCCCTACCCTCACACAGACCCCACTCCAGGAGTCCCTGATTGAATTCAGCGACAGCAGCCTCAGCAAGCTGGCCACAGACATGTTCCTAGGTGTGAGGGCAGTCGGGTGGCTAGAGTCCTGGGAGGGGTGGGCTCAGGCTCTGTGGGACAGTCCTCAGTCCTCCCTCTACCCCAGTTCAAGCAGGAGGGACCCAGGAGGAGAACAGAAGCCCCTATTACCCTGCCTGAAGCTTCCTTGGGGGAAGGGTCCACCTCTGAGACCCCTGGAGTGGGATGCACAGTTGGGGGTTGAGTAGGCCTGAGTGGGAGAGGTCTCTTCTACAGCTGTGATGAAGTTCATGGGAGATGCCCCACTGAAGGGCCAGAGTGAACTAGACGTGCTCTGTACCCTACTGAAGGTCAGTTCTGTCTCTGGGATGTGGCTTCTCCATTAATCACCCAGAGTCACAAGACATTGGGATGGGAGGCATTGCCCATGCGCCAAAGAAGAATGTGCCCAAGCAGTAGGGGAGGGGACACCGGTGTGACTCCACATCCCCATCCTGTTTTTGTGCCTGGTTTGCACTGTACCCCTGGCATGTCCTTGGCTTGTGACATGGCTTGCCCCCTTCAGCTGTGTAGGGGCCATGAGGTCTTGCGGGATGAATGTTACTGCCAAGTTGTGAAGCAGATCACGGATAACACCAGCACCAAGCAGTGAGTGAGCTGGACCTTCCTCTACTATGCCCATGGTTCAGAAGTGGCCAGCCTTCCATTCCCTAGTTCAGTCCCTGCCCTCCTTAGCTTCACTCTGTGTTGGTGTTAGGTGCTGTCAAGTCAAGTATGATTCATAGTGAACAACAGATCAGAACAACAGATCTGAACCCTGTTCTATCCTGTGCCATCCTCATCATTTCTAAAATACTTGAGCCCATTGCTATAGTCTCTGTGTCAATCCATCTCATTGAGGGTTTTCCTCTCTTTCACTGGCCTTCCACCTTTCCAAGCATGATATCTTTTTCCAAGAATAGACCCTCCTAACAACATGCCCTAAGTATGTTAGACAAAGTTTCATCATCCTTGCCTCTATGGAGCACTCTGACTCTCTCTAAGAAATGTGTTTGTTCTTTTGGAAAGCCATAGGATATTCAGTATTATTCTCCAGCACCACAACTCAAAGGCTTCAATTCTTCTTCTTTCACCCTTATATAAAATCAGATGCATAGCAAATGATTGAAAAGACCATGGCTTGAAACAGACACAGAAAACTGACGTCATTTTTCCTCAGTATTTTGGTGAGGTCCTTGAACAGCAGACTTTTCCATTGCAATATATCTTTTGATTTCTTGAGTCCTGGAGCCAGTGGTGTTGATTGTAAATCCAAGTAAAATGAATCATTGTCAGTGTCAATCTTTTCTCTATTATAATGTTGCCTATTGGTCCAGTGGTGAAGATTTTTGTATTCTTAATGTTGAGATGTAATCCATATTGAAGGCTGTGGTCTTTGATCTGCAGCAAGCATTTCAAGTCCTCCTCACATTCAACAAGCAAGGTTCTATCATCTGCATAATGCAGGTTATTGAGTCTTCCTCCCATCATGATGCCACATTCTTCATAAAATCCAGATTCTCAAAATTATTCAGCACACAGACTGAATAGGTATGGAGAAAGGACACACAACCTTGTTACATACTTTTCCTGATTTTAAACCATGCAGTGTTCCCTTGCTCTGTTTGGACAAAAGCTTCTTGGTTTAAGACTAGATTTCGTATGAGTACAATTAAGAATTCTGGAGTTCCAGTTCTTTTCAATGATAGCCATAATTTGTCAATATCCACACAGTAAAATGCCTTTGCATAGTCAATAAAACATAAATAGACATTCTTCTGGATTCTCCATGGGCAGAACATATGTTCTGGGACAAGTAATTTTTACTCTCACAGTTGGTTTCTCTTGTCTGCAGAATAGCAGTGATAATGTGTGAGTCTAGTTTCAAGTGACAGAAACTCAGCTCAGACTGATTTAAGCAAAAGAGTTAACTTATTGTTCTAGGTAACTAAAAATTCATTGACTTTGGTTTCAGGCATAGCTGGATCTAAGTGTCATCAGGAATGGCTGTCTCCATCCATTGGCACTACATTCCACTGTCTTGACATCTTACCTAGGCAGCTTCTTCCATGGTTTGGAGGGTAGCAGCTCTGGGAAGACATTGCTAATCCGCTCAACAATCTCAGGGAAAACAAAACTGTCTGACTTAGTATCTGCTGCAAAAATATCCATAATGAGTTTCATTGTGTTACATTCTATCCCTGAAACAACCATAATGACTAGAAAATACAGAATTCTGATTGGGAGACCTGTGTCACATACCAATCCCTAAACCAATCACTGAGACCAGGAAACCATAGTGTTTTTTTGTTTTTTGGGGTTTTTTTGTTTGTTTGTTTTTAGGGTAAAAAAAAAGGTCAACTTTTAATCATAACTGACCAAGATCTATCTAGGAATGTCTCCAAAGTAAACAAAAGAAACACAGTAAAATTCTTCTATTAAGAAACCACAAATTTCGCCTGCTCCAGAACAGTTCTGGGTCAGGCCAAGAACAGCCCACTACTGAGGCCAGTTCATTACCTGTACAAGTCTCTCATCCCAAAACAAGTCAGGATGGGAGAAAGACTCGTCTTCTCCTCCCATCAGGCTGAGACTCACGAAGTCACCAGCAGGGTCCTTCCTCCTGTCCCTTGTCCTGTACTACGGTTGATGAGTCCCTAGCCTCCCAGCTTAGCTCTGTCCCAGTCTACACAGCTCATTGTGCCCAGAGCAGAAATTAAAACGTGCACTAGAGAGAAACCCTCAAATGCCCCATCATCTCCACGATACAAGTCACATAGCAGAAGGCAAAATAAAACAGCTCTAATGGAAAGCGACAGCAGCCAGCTCTCAGAAGACACACTCAAACTCTGTCTGGTTGGTAGTGGTAGGATTTTGGCTCTGGTTGGTGGCCTGCTGGGTGATCTGGCTGCCCTTCCGGTGTGGTGGTGCCAGGTATTCAAACATGGACGTCAGGTGAGTGGAGAGCATGTTCTTGAGGTCTGAGGGCATGGGGTCAGACCAGAAAAAGTCGTGGTTAAGGGCATCATCACTGTCAATGCGCTGAGCAGGATCCAGCACAAGCAATTTGTCAGTGAGGTCCAATGCGTAGGGGTCACGCACGTAGGCCTTAAGCCTGTCTTTCACTTTCCGTTTCTGGCCTTTGGGCACTTCCAGCTTCTCAAACAGCTCGTACTTGTCCACATTTGGCCAAACCTCAGGGGTGATGGAACCACAGAGCTGGCTGATGAGGGCAAGCTGGTGCTGCTCAGTGTTGCCTTGCATAATAGGGCTTCGGGTCCATATCTCCGCCATGATGCAGCCTGCACCCCACAGGTCAATGGGGGGGGCATAGTCCCGCTCCCCGAGCAACAGTTCTGGGGGCCTGTACCAGAGTGTCACCACACAGTTGGTGTAACGGTTGGGCTGGCTGTTCTTGGCCAGGCTGAAGGCTCGGGCCAGCCCAAAGTCGGCCAACTTCAAGACTCCATCTCGGGTGATGAGCACATTAGCTGCCTTCATGTCTCTGTGCAGGATCTTGTTCCTATGGATGTAGTGCAGCCCGTTGAGAAGCATCTGCATGACCCTTTTGATCTCAGACAGTGTGAACTTGACTAACACATTACTCAGCAGCTCAGCAAGGTCATGTTCACAGAAGTCAAATACTAGGTATATACTGCCCTTGCAACGATTATAGGGGGAAGCTTTAGTTTGACAGATCTCAATCAAATTGACCACATTCTCATGTTTCAGAAGCTGGCAAATCTCGATTTCCCATAAAGCTGTGATGGGAAACCCCTCTTTCTCATTCTCCATCAGCACCTTCTTCAGAGCCACCTTCTGGCCGGTTTTGCGGTGCTTAGCCTTAAACACCTCCCCAAAAGAGCCTTGGCCGACCTTGGCGAGTTTTTCATATTTGGTCACTTCATCACAAAAGGGGCACTCCACTGAGTCATACTGCTTTGCCATGGCCGCCTCCAACGTGCCACTGCCTCCAGCTGCCGCAGGTACAGATCCCGTCCCAGGTCCTGCTGCCGTCGAAACCATAGTGCTTTAACAGGCCAACTCTGGCTCCCCTTTTCCAACCATTAAGACCACAAGAAGTAGCTATTTCCCCAAAAGAAGCCCCAATACTGTTGCAGACAGATGAAGTTCCCACATGAAACCCTCACACTCAAAATGGTCTTGGAACAAATTGTTGTGCCTCATGTGGAGTCAGTATACAAAACAGGTACATGATTTGCACCCTGCTCACATTACCAGTCTATGCCAGGAAATTTAAAAGACAAATACCAGGCCAACTGACTGATAGAGGTCCATATCTGTGCCCATTCCCAAGAAAGATGATCCATTCAAATGTGGAGATTATCAAACAATATCATTAATATCATATGTAAGATAAATATTATTGAAGATCATCCAAAAATGACTATAATAATGCAGGTTGTTGATGAGTCTTCCTCTCATCCTAATGCCACATTCTTCATAAAACCAGATTCTCAAAATTAGGTATGGAGAAAGGACACAGAACCTTGTTACACACATTTCCTGACTTTAAACCCTGCAGTGTTCTCTTGCTCTGTTTGTCAACAGGACATTGACAGAGAACTGACAGTTCAGGCTGGGTTTAGAAGAGGCCATGGCACCAGGGATGTCATTGCTTATGTCAGATGAATCCTGGCTGAAAGCAGAGAATACCAGAAGATTATCTGTGCTTTCTTGACTATGCAAAGGCATTTGACTTTGTAGATCTTAACAAGCAATGGCTAACATTTAGAAAAATGGCAATCCCAGAACACTTTATTATGCTCATACGAAATTTATGCTCATAGGAAACCTATGTCTAGACCAAAAAGCTTTTGCCTGAACCGAGCTAGGAACACTGCATCGTTTAAAATCAGGAAAGGTGTACATCAGGCCTATATCCTCTTTCTCTATCTATTCAGTCTGTATGCTGAGCAAATCATTTGAGAAACTGGACTTTAGGAAGAAGAATGTGGCATTGGGATGGGAGGAATATGCATCAGCAACCTGCATCATGCAGGTTGTTGAATGTGAAGAAGACTTGAAACACTAGCTGCAGATTTCTTGTAGCAAGTTTTTTTGTTTGTTTGTTGTTGTTTTTGCAATAAGACCTAAAATTTATATATTGGATGACAGCCGAGAACTGGTTTAAGTTGCAGCACACACAGGAAACACAATTAGTCGAGGAGCCTACTATCCGTTCCCTAAGGAATCATCCTAAGAATTGAGACCCTAGAGGTGAACCCCGGCAGAGGCCTGGTCCGCCACCGTGTTGCTCATGGTTAAAAGGGCCGCCTGCAGCGGTCTGGAGCCCCAGTTATGTGTGAACTCATGCTCTTGTGCTGCAGCTTAACCACCGGTAGCAAGTTTTTTATAGAAGAAACTATTGTCTTCAATATGGATTCTATCTCAACATCAAGAAAATAAAAATCCTAAAAAAAAAAAAACCAAAAACCTCACCACTGGACAAATAAGCAACATCATGATAGATGGAGAAAAGATTGAAATCATCAACTGTTTCATCTTAATTGGATCCACAGTCAACACCCTTGGTACCAGCAGTTAAATCAAAAGATATATTGCACTGGGCAAGTCTGCTGTCAGGATCTCTCCAATGTACTAGGGAGCAATGATGGCAGTTTAAAGACTAAAGTGCCTGATTCAAAACATGGTCTTTAAAAATAAAAACCTTGCTGTGCAACTGAGAGCTGGACAATGAAATAAAGGTAATAAAAGAATTGAAACCTTTGAGTTGTACTGGAGAAGAAAAAGAACAAACAAATATGTCTTGGAGAAAGTACAGATAGAGTGCTCCCTGGAGGCAAAAATGACAAAGTTGGCTTCACATATTTTGTGCATGTTGTTAGGAGGGACTATTTCTTAGAGAGGGATAGCATGCTTGGAAATGCGGAGAGTCAGAGAAAGAGAGGAAGACCCTCAAGAATATGGATTGACACAGTGACTGCAGAAGTGGGCTCAAGTGTGTCTGGGATGATGAGGATGGCACAGAATAGGACAGAGTTCAGATCTGTTGTTCACAGGGTTACTATGATTCGTATTTGACTTGATGGCACCTAACAGCAACATATTACTGTAAAGAACCTAGTGGTGTAGTGTGTTATGTGTTGGGCTGCTAACTGAAAGGTCAGCTGTTCAAATCTACATTGGGAGAATGATGGTCAATCTCCTCCTGGAAAGATTTGCAATCTCTGAAACTCCATGAGTTGGAAACAACTCAACAGGAATGGGTTTAGAGGTTTGGAATTTGTTGTTGTTGTTGTTGTTAGCAAGAGACTGTTGTCCTGCCCTGTGCAACTGTCTGCCTTCCCACTTACTCTCCCTGTCCAGAAATTTTAGAGTTGTTTAGCATACCCTCCTCAAGACAGCAGGTTGACCCACCTCAAGTCAGCAGATGCCCCTTGCCTTCCTCCAAGGACCTTAAGCCAGAAGAATCCCTAGAGAAAACCCCAGCCCAAGAACACTTTCTTTGTATTTGTATTTATATCCAGCATGTCACCTTTTTCTCCCTTGAGTCCCAAACAAAACATGTCTTCTGCACAGCTTTGGGCCCATCTACCCCACTCTCTGGACAGAGAGACTCATCCTCAGAAGAGAAGAGTTGCCTGAGAACTAGACTAGAAACTTCCAGCTCAGACCCTAAAGCCTCTTTCTTGGCTGGTGCTGTGGCCCCATGAAACTGATCTTCTCTGTTTTTGCAGAGACAGCTGCCAGCGAGGCTGGCGTCTGCTGTCCATCGTAACTGCCTACCACAGCTGCTCCGAGGTCTTCCGGCCACACCTCATCCACTTCCTCCAAGACATGAGCCAGACCCCAGGCCTGCCTTTCCAGGGTGAGCAAAAAATAGACTCTCACAGCTGTGGATGCTCTTCCTGGGCACCAAGTGTGCAACAGGCCTTGAGGAAGCTTAAAGGGCCTGACCCTTCATAAGGGTGCTAGAACGTTTGAGGTAGTTCATTGATGCCTGAAGAACATTTGTGATGGGCCCACAGGGCTGGCAGTAATAGAGTGGGGAGGCAAATTAAATGTTTGGTAACAAGCAGAGATGGTATACCGAGTGTGGAAGGAGCGAGGGAAGTAAGGAAAGCAGACCTAAAGCTGAGATGCTGACTCAGGTCCACAGTCTCTGTGGGGAATCAGGTGGCAAATATCTTGAGAGAATCAGAGGAAGAGGCCACTCCTCCAGCCTCAGCCTTAGCCATTGTATCCATAGCAATAATTGAGTTTCCTAAAGAAACAGGCTGAGGTCCCTATAATCACATGATAGCCATGAGAGAGATCAAAGCCCTCTTACTCCCCACCTTCAAATCCTCTTTGGTTCAGTTAGCAAACCAGACCCAGGATGAATCGATCCAGCTTTCCAGAGAGGGGCTCCCAGAAGCATGGAGGCAGCAGAGTAAGAACTCTGTCCCCTTCCTGGAGGAATCCTCTTTCCAGAATAATTATCAGGAGAGGGCACTCCTTAACCCAGAGAAGTGGACTTCTGATGCTGACCTTTCATGCTTTGGAGTATATGGGTTGTGATAGGTACTGGGCAAGGGTTATCCATGCTAGCAGGGCCAAAACCTCATTGCTACCACAGCCATAGCCTTTGGGGCCAGGCTTCAGTGTAGGATCTTGAGGACATGTGTGCCAAGGGCTCATAAGCAGATAAAGTGACTATAGGGTAGACAGTGGACTTTAATGGGAAATGGAACCAGGGTCCCCTGGGTTCAAGTCCAGCTTTCACACTCCAGTTATTGACCTTGAGCAAATCTCTTAACTCTCCATTTCCCCAACTCTAAAATGGGGTCTGGGGAACAGGCTTTGTCAGTGCTCTGCACACATTGGAGTGTGACTTAGAACAAGAGGATTGACCCCTGTCTCTGTAGGTATTGCCAAGGCCTGTGAGAAGAACCTGCAGAAAACCTTGAGATTTGGTGGTCGTTTGGAGCTCCCCAGCAGCATGGAGCTTCGGGCCATGCTGGTGAGTGGGGCCAGAGGGCAGGATGAGATACCCTTCCTAGACTGCCCTCGTGCACAGTCTGCTCAGGCCCCCTGTGTACACATACATGGGGCCCCTTGGCTTGGGGATTCCCAGAACTCAGTCTCTTGTCCCTCCATAATCTCTAGGCTGGTCGAAATTCCAAAAGGCAGCTCTTTCTTCTTCCTGGAGGCCTTGAACGCCATCTCAAAATCAAAACATGCACAGTAAGTGAGGGGGTGCTGGGGGCTCCATTTGATGGCGTCTCTGCCAGTCTGGGGCTGGAGAGAGGTCTGGGCTGCCGGAGCATGAAGCCCCTTTTGGACTCTCATGGAGCAAGGACTGTTTCTCAGGAAAGGCTCCAGGTCAGGGTCACAGACAGATAAGGGGGAAAGGCAGAGTTCCAACCTGAGCCTGGGAGACTCCACAGTCTTTGCCATTTGAAGCCCCTGCCCTCCTGGACAACAGCAGTCAGACCCACTCTCCTCCCTCTCCTCCCCAGGTGGCCCTGGATGTGGTGGAGGAGATTTGTGCTGAGATGGCTCTGATGCGCAGCGAGGCCTTCTATGAGTACATCATCTTCATTGTTACCAACAAAGGTGAGGGACTCACCTTGTGCTGGCTGCCTGGGTCAGATGTCACATCCTCCAGCAAGTCTCCAGTCCCTGTGTTAGTGTCCCGAAGTGGCTGTTATAAAGTTCAGAAATGTAAATCTCACTCATTGCTATTGAGTTGGAACTGACTCATAACTGGGCTTCTAAAAGTTTTCAAATACTGTAAACTGCAAGGGAGGAGATTTCCTGTCTTTCTCCCTTGAAGCAGCTGATAGCTTCAAACTGTCTACCTTTTGAGTTGGCAGTGTAGCTCCTTACCACCAGGCAACCAGAAACTAGGTGGACAGAAATATAAGGGGAGAAATGTATTGCCTCACAGTTCAGGAGCCTGGAAGTCCAAATTCAGATTGCATCAGGACTGTGTTCCCTCCTCAGGTCGTAGAACTAGATTCTTCATCTCCTCAAGTGTCTGGCAGCCCTAGAGGAGCTTAGCTTGCAGTTGTAGCATCACTCTATCCCTGCATTCTTCCACATGGCTGTCCCACTGGCCCTTTTGTGTGTCTTCTTTTACAGGACACTTGCCACAAAACTTTAGGACTTGCCCTACTCTGATATGACTTGATGTTAATTTAACTGATAGTATCCTCAAAGTCCCAAAAGGGACTTCATCATGCCTTTTCTGGGATACATGATTTAGCCCTTAACAATACCCCATGTGGTGGGACCTCTCTCTACTCAGCATGACTTAGCCTTGTGTAAGAGTCTGTTTTGCTGCAGTATCTTGTATTGCTCCTCAGGTTGGCTGTTTGGGCCCTTGAACATGTGAAGGGAAGGCTCATAACAGAATCTATATTTTGAGGAAGGGTTCCCCTAATTGACCCTGCTGTAACCCCTCCCATCACCTCATCAGGTCCTTCTCTGTAGGTCCTGTGCCCTGGGGGGGTAACTTCCATCAGCTCCCTACCCACCCCAGGCCACTGCCTTGCCTGCTACCACCTAGCTGGTTGACTGTAGCCACCACTAGCCAGCAGCTAGCTCTCCCCTGCTATTGTCCTTGAACCATGTCATTATGTACTCTCAGCCCTGCCTTGCCAGAGTTCATCTCAGATATTAATGGGCAATAACATAATGGCCCTACTAATGAACAGTAGTTGGCCTAATGGTGAGGGGTTGCACTGCCAACCCAAAGACATGGGCTGTGAATCCACCAGGAGAAATATAGGCAAGCTCCTCCCATGAGATTGAATGAATTTACAGCCTCTGGAAACCCATCTGCTAGAGGGCCAGCTTTGTGTCATTCTGACTTGGTACACAGCAACAGTGAACACTTATTGAGCAGGTAGTGTGTCCTAGACACAGTGCAGAGCATGTGAGATCCAGCTCGCCATGCTGGGATACTTAAAAGGATGTGGTGGAGATAAATACATTTTCTCTTACTTGGATCCACAATCTATATCCTTGGCACCAGCAGTCAGGAGATTAGGAGACATTGCATTGAGCAAGTCTGCTCTCAGGGCCTCTCCAAAATATTGGTGAGCAGAGATGTTAGTTTAAAGGCTAAGGTGTGCCTGATTCAAGCCATTGTCTTTCACGCATTTTCTATGCATCAGAGAGCTAGACAATGGCTAAATATGACAGAAAGAAAATGGAGAAAGAGAAGGAGTCTGGGGACACAACTCCTCAAGAAGGAGAAGAACCCAGATTTCCTTTAGCCCTTCATATTTATTAGCCTTCCCAAAGAGCAAGTTAAGACAACTTGATTTTTTAGTTCCTGAACATGCACCATTTGCAAAAGAAAGTTGGACAATCTCCTCCTGTGTGATTTACTGTCTCTGAAAACCCACTGGAGGGTCAGCTGTGTGTCAGTTCCAACTTGATGATACAACAGATAAGCACTGCAGGTCCACAGATTTATTTGTCACTCTACCATCCGGGAACTCTGCATACACACAATTGCTTGGTCACTTTAGCAGTTCATCAGTTTGCTGAGTTAGTGTTTATAGTGTGCCATCTTCACATGATCATGGTGCGAGTCTAAATCTCAGTTCAAAGTCCCCTCTCCGTAGTGGTCTCCATAAAAAGCACTTATTTCTATGAACTCTTTGAAAGCCTCTTAACAATCAATTTAAAATCAGGGGAAGGATGTGTGTCAGGGTTGTATCCTTTCTCCATACCTATTCAATATATATGCTGAGTAAATAATTTGATAAGATGGACTATATGAAGAACAGTGTGGATCAGAAGAAGACTCATCAACAACCTGAATGATGCAGCTGACACAACCTTCCTTGCTGAAAGTGAGAGGACTTAAAACTTACTGCAGAAGATCAAAGACTACAAGCTTCAATATGGTTTATATCTAAACATCAAGAAAACAAAAATCCTCACCACTGCATTAATAGACAATGTCATATGAAAGGAGAAAAGATTGAAGTTGTCAAGGATTTTATTTTACTTAAATCTACAGTCAGCACCCATGGTAACAACAGTCAAGTAATTAAAAGAAGTGTTACACTGGGAAAATATGCTATCAAGGATCTCTCAAAAGAGCTAATAACAAAGGTGTCAGTTTAAAGACTAAGGTGAACATGATCCAAGCCATGGAATTTTCAGTTGGTTCCTGTGAATCTGAAAGTTGTACAGTGAATAATGATTTATGTTTTTGACTTCTTGTAATGGAGAAGAGTACTGAATATCACATGGGATGCTGAAGGAAAACAAGTCTGTCTTTTTTTTTAAAAATTGGTTTTCTTATAGTCACTCATATACATTTTATTTTATAACAATATATACACTTGTATTTTTATAACAGTGCATACAATAATATAATGCCATTATTTACAATGTCCTATAATAGATGGAGAAATTATTGAAATTGCCAATGATTTTATCTTACTTGGATCCACAGTCTTCATCCTTGGCACCAGCAGTCACGAGATTAGGAGACATTGCATTGGGCAAGTCTGCTGTCCGGGCCTCTCCAAAATATTGGTGAGCAGAGATGTTAGTTTGAAGACTAAGATGTGCCTGATTCAAGCCATTGTCTTTGAATCACTTGCTATGCATCAGAGAGCTAAACAATGGATAAAGATGACAGAAGAATTCAAATGCCTTTGAATTGTGGTAAGAGCACTGAACATCCCATGGACTGCCAAAAGAACACATATGTCTTGGGTAAAGTGCATCCAGAATGCTCCTCAGAAGCAAGAAGGCAAAGCTTTGTCTCACATATTGAGCATGTTGCTAGGAAAGGCTGTTGCTTGGAGAGGGAAATCATGCTTGGAAAGGTGGAGGGACAACAAAGAAGAGGAAGACTCACAGTGAGATGAATTGACACAGTGACTATAGTAGCAGGTAAAGTATCAGAAAAGATGAGGGTGGCACAGAATAGGGCAGGGTTTAGATCTCTTGTTCATAGGGTCTCTCTGGGTTGTATTCAACAGCACAACAATATGGACATCTATCTCACTCTTCATTCCTTTTCCCTTCACCTTACTCATTCATTCACTGATCTGTACTCCCTCTCCCACTCCTCCAGTCCCTACCAGTCAACCCTCTACAGTTGTTTCTGTTCATGGGTAAGCCTTGATTTATTCTCTCTCTCTCTCTCCTTTCTTTTCCTCTTTCCCCCCTACCCCTATTTAATCAAATAAAGAAGTGTGTGTTGTAGGAAATCCATCAAGAGTGCTTATTAGAGCCAAGGATGATGACACTTCATCTCACAGACATTGGGCATGTTGTCAGGAGGGGCCAGCCCTTGCAAAATGACATACACTGAGAAAGTTGGAGGATCAGAGAAACAAAGATCCTCAGAAAGATAATTGAGCCAGTGACTCTAACAGTGGGCTCGAGCATATTAGAGATTGTCTGGGTGGTGCAAGATAAGGCAAAGCTCAGGTCACTAACAGTTGTAGTCAACTGGGAAACACCTAACAACAAAAATTTAACAGCTACTTCAACAGATTACCACAGATATGTTGACTTAGAACAACATAAACTTATCATCTTATTGTTCTGGAGGCTGGACAAAATCAAGGTAACAGCAGAGCTGACACATAGGGGAGAATTTGTTTCCTTTCCTGTGTCTGGCGCATGTCAGAACCATCAATCTCCATCTTTTACCCATCTCCAAAGTCAGCAGTGCAGAATCTTCTGTTCTCACATCTCCTCTCTGTTTGCTTCTCTGATGCTGAGCTGCCTATCTCCCTCTTACAAGGACCCTTCTGAGTACATTGGGCCCACTGATTCATTTCCTTATGTCAGTGCCCTTAATAATCACATCTGCAGACTCTCTTTTGTCATTTAAGGTCATATATTCATAGGTTCCTAGGACTAGGACATGGACATCTCTGGGGCCATTATCAATTGGCCGAGGAGGTGACCTTTTCAGGATCACACAGTTGAGATGTGCACCTAGGCTGTCCAGTCTCTGGAACCAGCACTCTCTTCATTAGGCCTCTTGTCTTTAGTAAAGTTTTGCTGAAACCATAGAGTGGTTGGCAAAATGTCAGTTGAGGAAAGAACAAGCCCTCCTTACAAACCCACTCATTGACAGGCCTCATACACTCCCGCTCTGAACCTTTCCAGGGGCTCTGCCATGAAGAGGTCTGCAGAAGGGCATCCCCCTTCTTGGGTTTCAGGATCTAAGTCCTGTGCTTCTCCTTGTCCCCAATCTCCTCTGATAAGAGGCCAGACTTTCTCTGAACTTAACCCAGTGCTTTCTCAGGCAGAAGCAGGCACCCCCAGAGGCCTCCCCTTAGGGAAAAACAGAGCATTGCTTACAGCTTTGAATTGAAGCAATTCCCACTTGGGGTCCTCAGTTTTAATACAATATACAGTATTATAGGCCCTTTATTCCACAAATACCCACTCTTTTTTTCTTTCTCACTTTAAAAACTTTATTTTATATTGATTTGTTTACAAAGTTTGTATCCATTGTGTCTCACACTATTCTTCATTAATATTGTATTTCATACAATCATTCTCATGTATTACATTTTATAAAATTAATCACCATTAGACGATGCCTACCATTACCCTGTCTTTTCAGGTCCCCGCCAAATCTTTTCCATTTCCTTCACCCTTTCCCTCTACCCACCAAATTGTGTAACCCTGTGATTTCATCCCTCTGCTCCCACCTCTTTCCCCCTTGAATACCTACTCTCTTAATTAGAAGCTTAGTCCCAGCCAGGGATGAAAGCTGGTCCACATGATGTCTGCTGTGTGACTGGTTGGAGTCCACATGGGTGTGAAGAGCCAAGTGTGTGAATACTCAAACACACCTGCCTCTCAACTCTGCAGGTCAGCACGTGTGTCCACTCAGCCGCCATGCCTACATCCTGGATGTGGCCTCCGAGATGGAGCAGATGGATGGTGGTTATATGCTTTGGTTCCGGCGTGTGCTCTGGAATCAGCCGCTCAAGTTTGAAAATGAGTTGTATGTGACTATGCACTTCAACCAGGTTAGCTTTTGTGGGCTGTTTTGTTTCTCTGGGAACTTCTGAGTCTCCAAGACCTACAAAGTCAGACTCCTCAGACTTGGTGCTGAATGTCTTTATGATCTGGTCCTTGCTGATATTTCTAACACTAAAAGCGTTTTTCCCCCTCTGTGGTCTACTCCGAGCAACCAGCACTGTCATCCTTCTTGCCTCATTTCTGGCTCTTTTCACATGCTGTCAGCCCCACTTGGCTGCCCTTTCCTGTATCTCTGCCTATTCACACACTCTCTGAAGGCTCCTCTGGAAGATGCCTCTTCAGCATGGATGTGGAGCTCTGGTGGTGTGATCCCTAGAGTGTTTTGCAGCTAACTCAAAGGCTGAGAGTCTCTGGTAGTTCAAATCCACTGGTGGCTCCTCGAAGGAAAGACGGGCACTCACCGGCTGTGACATCATGTCCTTGAGCACTCACCGCCTGTGTACATTACAGCCTCCTCAAGAGACCCTGTGAGGGTCAGCTAGGAGTTGGTACCAACTTTATGGCAACAGCTTTTTTTTTTTTTCTATAATTATATTTTATTAATTTTCATAAACATTTACAGAGATTTTGGGCTTCCACTCATTCATTGTTGCACTATTCTCTCTACCCTCCTCCCAGTTTGTTCTTGTCCAAATGCCACAGTGCTTGTCAAAGCCAGTTCTGATTAATCTTCTTTGTCAGTGTATCCTTTGCCATTCCCTATCCCTCCTCCCTGAGAGAGACTTCACCCTGAGTCATAAGGAAAAGGGGACGGCGTATTCTCTTAGCTACTTCCTGCTGAAAAGGGACGCTGTGGGTTTCAGGGTGAAGATCTTCTCTCACTACTCTAAAGGGCCCCTTTGGCAGTAGGAAACACATAGACTATTATGGAGATTGATTTTGGAATTCAGAATGGCAACAGCTTTGAATTTGACCATGTGATTGTCTCTGGTTTTCCCCTCCTCCCTAATTTCCTGCCTCACCCAAAGGCAGGCAGTTCAAATTCACTAACTGCTCTGAGGGAGAGAAAGACAGGCAATATTCTTCTTCCATGTGATTTACAGCCTTTGAAAACCTTCTAGAGGTCAGTTCTGATTCAATGACAATATGTTTTTGGCTAGTGTTTTGTCTCCCACTCCCAACTGTTATGCACATCTGTCCCAGGGAGTGGTTGCTGGTCTTAAACCACTAACCTTTGGGTTAGCAGCTAACCATGGTGCCACAAGGGCTCCTGCTTGTCCTCCAGAAAGATGCCAATTTAACAGATCTGTGGTAGGACATGAGAAATTGTACCTTCACTAGTCCCAAGGGATATAGCAGGTCAGTCTATGAACACAGTGAACAAGGTGCAGAGGCCTGGTCCTCACGCCAACATGTACCCACAGTCAAGTGATTGAGCTTTAGGATCATATACTTGGAATTGCTGAAGTAAGTGGTACCTGATATACAAAAACACCTCTCTCTGCCTAGGGGTATGACACAAATTTCAGCACTGAAAGGGAGAACCCAGATTTTGTAAAATGTATGATCCTGATTGAAAATGTTTCACACACATGGATGAATGCATGAAACACAATGTATAAGACTTTTGTACCTAGCCAATATAAACTTAAAAAAAAGAGGAAGGAGATTCTCAGCCTCAATGGAAAACAGCACAAACAAAACAAACAACATTAGCAAATTACTGCTTAGGAAAAAAAATTAAGAAAAAAGGACAAACCAGAAACAAACACATGGTCAAATTCAAAGTCATTGCCATAGAACTGGGACAACTCCTAGCTGACTCCAGCAGGTCTCTGAGGCCATGACATGTACAGGTGGAGCCTTGACAGAGTGTGTGAATAGGCAGAGATGCAGGAAAGGGCAGCCAAGTGGGGTTGACAGCATGTGAAAAGACCCTGAAACTAGGCTGTGCAGCCATTCCACTCTGTACAGCCTGGGAGACCCTGGGCAGCTTCTTCAAGCCTGTGAATGATTACACCAGGGAGGCCCTGGGAGGCCACTCCACTCCTGTGAAGGGTACACCTGAGAGGCCCTGTGTGGCTATTCTCTCTCAGAGTCTCTAGGTGTTGCAATTGACTCAGTACAAGGTAGTTTCATTTGGGTTTGATTTGAGGGTGTAGCCCAGCAACTTGGATAACTGTGTTGTTGTTGAAATTCATATAACATAAAGTTGACTATTTAAAAGTGTACAATCCAGTGGCATTTACTATATTCATTATGTGGAGTAGCCATCACCTCTGTCATTCTCAAATAATTTCCTCACCACAGAAAGAAAGTCTTTCCCATGAGAAAGCCCTTCCCCAGCTCCTCCATCCTTCCACCTGCCATGGCATCACCAGAAATCCAGTCTCCATGTTGGCAGGCAGTGCTGAGGAACCTTCAGGTGCTTTGGGAGTTTGCTCCAGTTTAGGGGCTATTGGCCTGCTGCTCCACCATCATCACCCCCAGTTCTGTGGACACACACACATCTTCAACACTTCAGCTCTGCTGCTTATACAACACCCTCTGCTGTCATTCCCCAAGGCCCCAGGAGGCAGATAAACATGGCTTGATTAAATCTCCTATCTCAAGGATACCCCTAGCAGACTGACCCAGGAGTGTTCACGCCTCTCGTCTGTCATCCCCACAGGTCCTGCCTGACTACCTGAAAGGTCTCTTCAGCAGCAGGCTCCCCAGCCAGCCCAGTGAGCAACAGCTGCAGCAGGTGTCCAAGCTGGCCTTACTGCAGCACCGTACAAAGAACCGCTTCTACCTGCCCAGTGTGTAAGCACTGCCCAGCAGGCTCCCCTCCTGTCTCTCAGCCTGGACAATAGGCAGCCCTGCCCTTTGCCTCCTGACCTTTTTCATCTTACACAGCCCAGGCACCTCAGTGTTGCATCAGTAAGGCTGTAAAGAAAGGGGCTATCTTGGTTTAGGACTTAAAGTCCCCCACCTCAACCATCATCTGGGATCCACATCCCTTTTCATAACAAGTTGCTTCCAGCCTGTACTAATAGTTCAGAGTAAATATAGTGATTAAAGAAAAGTTTTCAGGACACACAGTCTGTGGTCCAAGAAATACATACAGCTGTGCAGCAAGACTTAACTACAGAAATGTTCCAAACAGCATCACCACACAGTGGTGCTGGAATATCCAGCAGTAGAGGGTTAGTTCAGCAACTTGGGAGGAATCTCTAAACCAATGTTCCCCAAGGTGTGATAAATGCTATCAAATCAGTTGTTCACAAACTCTAGGTCTCAGAAGCCAAAGTTTTTATTTATTAAAAATAGGACTCCAAAGAGTTTTAGGTTATGTGGGTTAAACTTAGTACTATTTACACTATTCAAAATTAAAACTGAGGAAAAATTTTTAAATATTTATTTATTAAAAATAGTAGCAATGTACATGTTTACCATAAATAGCATTTTATAAAAAAAACTACTTTTCAAAAAAATCAGTGAAAAGAGTATGACACTATTTTCCTTTTTGAGAATCTCTTTACTGTCTGGTTGAACAGAAGCTGGATGCTCACATCAGTCTTTTCATTCAGCATGTTGTGATGTCACCTGTCATGCAGCCTCCAGAAACACACACACACACACACACACACACACACACACACACACACATGCACTCAAAAAAGAAACTGGAAAGTGAAAATCATATTGCTACCCTCCCAGGACCTTGGGCACCCTTTGAGAACTGCCATCATAAATAGTCCTTAATTTGATCATGTGTGAACAGTGTGTGTCCCAGTGTGTGTAGCATGTGAAGGGCTCCATGGATCCTTTCTGTGTTACCATTTTAAGTGAGAAGAGCATGATAAAATCCTGTATAGAAACACTTGTTACGCTGTTGCTTTTTCCAACACACCCTTATCTCAGCTTGCCTTCCCAGCTGCAGAGTCTCCCTTTTACAGATGTGGAAAGCGAGACTCAGAGTGCCCAGCTTGACCAGGTTTGCCCACCTAACACCTTTTGCTGGTTAGTGAACTCAGAGCCCCACTCTTCTCACCTGCAAAGCAGAGATGCTAGTGGTTTTAACCAGTGATTGTTGAATCCCTACTTCATGCCAGGTTCCTATGTGAGCACTTTGCTAATTTTCAGCCTGTCTAGTTAGCATTGAGTCTTCAATGGAGGTAGTGGGTACTCAGGGAAGATTTTCCCTTCCCCACCAGGCAAGAGGTCCAGGAGTACATCCCAGCCCAACTCTACTACATAATCGCAAGTTCCAGCTGGCTCCGCCTGATCAATCAGCACTGGCAGCAGACACAGGCTCTTAGCCCCCACCAGGCCCGAGCCCAGTTTCTAGGTAAGAGTCCAGGGTTCGGCATGGAGATCCATAGGGCTTGTCAGCATCCTGGAGAAAAGGAGTATGGAAGGACATTCCTTAGGAAAGTCTTTGAGCAAAGTGTAGAGGAGGGATAGTGTGGGATAGTTAGATGAGGACTCTGGCCGGATTCTGTAAGAGAATTTTCATTTAAGCCCAGGACTTGACCCTGAGGGCATAGTTGGGTTTACACCTGGAAGACAGAGGCCCAGGAACCTAAATGAAGCATTGCAAGCTTCTGGAGTAAATAACTTGGGGTGAAAATTAGACTTAGGATGGAGTCCCAGAGACAGGGAGAGTGGAAATGATGTCAGATGACAATATACCTCCATAAGAGCTAGACTCAGGGAAGAAGGATGCTGAAGAGGGCCCCTCACCAGCATTCTCCTTTGAGAATGATGGAGTCACTTGTTCAGAGCAGAGGATGCAGATATGGAACAGATGTGGAGAAATTTGAAGGCCTGTGGGCCACAGAGACAGCTGGATCACAGCTTGGTGCACAGAGTGAGCACAGAGGATCTTCAGTGAACAGAGATTTACATAGCTCTGGGGATGAGAAATCTACCATTCATAATAGTGCATGCAGAGCACTATACAAAGGCTCCACTTGCTGAGCAACAGGCTAGCTTGGGCCAGGGGACTGCTCGGTGGAAGGTGCTCCTAGAGAGAACGTCTTTTTTTATAGATAGGATTTTTGCCTTCCTCATCCACAGGAGGCACATTTTTGTTTGCACTGGGGTATTTTCAGTGCCAGCTGAGCACGTGCTTCAGCAAGAGCTTGGATAGGTGGAATGGACAAAGATGGATGAAAAGGCCATGACAGGAGGCTAGAGAGGCAGGAAGAGTCGGATGCTTAGGGAAGAGGTGATGATGGTTGGGGTTGATCCCTGTCCATCATGTAACTGCCACCCCATCTCCGTACTCCAGGCCTCCTCAGTGCCTTGCCCATGTTTGGCTCTTCCTTTTTCGTCATCCAGAGCTGCAGCCACGTGGCTGTGCCAGCCCCTTGCATTCTTGCTGTCAACTATAATGGACTCAACTTTCTCAACACTGAGACCCATGTGAGTGACCTTGGTCAAGCAGAGGGGTCCTGATCATCACTTTCTGCTTGTGTAACTTTGAGCCAGCCCCTTTCTCTGGAAAATGGGAATGATAGGCAGAACCACCTCCTGAGTCTGTGGTCAAGTGTAGTATTATTACCTTTCTTAGATCTGGTCTCAAAAACAAAACTTGAGAAAAGGATGATGACTGTGAGAAGTGATTCTAGAAAATATTTCTGACTGCAGCCAATAAAGGGTGTGTTACTTCTGTCAGCAATTGGAGTTAATCAAGCAGGGATTGCTGGGAGATCATCTAGTCTCAACAGTGGGGTGTTACATGGTTTACCATCAAGGACTACTTAATGAGGTGCTAACTCCTCATCTGGTTTACCTAATGTGTGGTCTGAAACCAGAAGTAAAGATGAAGGTATAGTCATGAACAGCACCTACCATGGCCTCGGAACCCCAGTATTTAGAGCAAGAGCGGACACACAATCAAGGCATTATCAGCATTAGTTCGATTAGATTCACAGAGAGAATGACTGGTTCAAAGTCACACAGCAAGTTACTGGGCAACTGGCGCTCATACCAGGGTATCCTGCTTTCTGCTGAGCTGATTTACAGGGAGTGTGGGAGAAGGCTGAAAGTGTTAAGACTGTAGAGAAAAGATCCCTAGCTCCACAGCCTGTTTCACCACTCTGATTTTCAGGAGCTGATAGTGGAGTTCCCCCTGAAGGAGATCCAGTCCACCCGGACTCAGCGGCCTACAGTCAACTCTAGCTACCCCTACGTGGAGATTGTGCTGGGGGATGTGGCAGCCCAGCACACTATGCAGCTACAGTTGGACCAGGTACTCCTATTCTGAGCCTGAGGCCTCATTACCCAACTCACTCACCTGGTAGCCCATATTCACCAGAGCCAAGTTCTAGACAAGATGTCAGGAAGTGTACAACCCAGTCCAGGCAGAACCAACCCACTCTGAATATAGCTCTAGTCACTGTGGGGTCTTCCAGGGAAGCATCTTGAAGAATAGTGAGGAGTGGGAAGGGCCTTGGGGACACACAGCCAGGAAATGGCAGATCTTGAAGGAAGAGCCCTGGTTGTTAAATTATGGGTCTAGGACTTTCCTGAGAACACAGAGAGCAGATAAGGGGGAGAGACACAGGAGGTTTGAGGAGGTTCACCTGAGCTAAGACATAGAACTAAAACTGTGGAGCCTAGGACTGAAAGTAGGGATGGTGGATTCCCACATTAGGGGGAAAGATAGGGAAGCTGAGGCCTGCGTGCCCTGTACTTTATTATCAACTGGCTACTCCTTAAAAGGCAGAAATCACCCCCTAGGCTTCTGTTCAAGCCTTACAGCCCAGGTAAAGGGGACAGAACAGGGGTGAGATTCACACTGTCTGCCCTGTCTAGCCCCTTAAATCCAGATGAGCACAGGAAGAGGAAGTTACTGGTTCAGTCATACAGCTCCCTTGCCCAAAGCCAAGGATTGCATTTACTCCCTCTTCCCTCTCCCATCAGTGGCCTTGCCAGATACTGGTTCTCCCACCTCCCTGTTCTCCATACTCCTACAGGCCCTAGGTAACAGGTAGGAAGATGAAGGGGGTTTTTAATCTACAGGGCCTGGAGCTGTGTCGTGTGGTGGCGGCCCATGTGGAAAACCTGCTCAGTACCCGAGAGAAGCAACTCACCTTACCCCCCAGTGAGATTACCCTGCTCTGACCAACCCCAGCCTCCAACTGCTTCTGCCAGAGAACCTTGGGGGAGGCCAGGAGGAGTCACTCAAATCCCCAAGACCTCTCAAGGACCAATCCAGAATTGGGCTGGAGTTGTGACATGCAGCCAACAGGAGGAATTTCTGAGGGCTGCCTCAAGGTGCAGTGAGCACAAGGCCGGACCATGAGCCTCTGCCCCCATGCCCATCACAGATCCTGTCCAGACTACTATCAGTTGCAGGGACGTCTCAGTGACCTAGCTGAACTGGACTTTGTCCATGGTTTACTTAGGGTCTGATGTGTGAATCTGCCCATCCTCAGGTATCCCCCCTTGTGGTTTCTGTAAGTGTAGATGTATGATCCTTGGTTGTTTCTGTGAACATAAATAAAAGATGCAGCCTGCAGTCCTTTCCTCCAAGGAGCTGCTTAGTGGCTGCAAAGCAAGAATAAGGGAAACGACAGGAGTTGGAGGCTTAGTTATACCTGACTCAGCATGAACCAAGCTTCCACCAGAGTTCCTCTTTCTCTCTCCAGATCCTCACACTCTAGTAGCACTTAGGAGGCCCCAGCACGAGGTCCCACTGAATGCCACACACATAGGTGAAGAGTGGTATATTGAAGGGAGGCAGAAATCTGTAAATAGCTAAGCAGCCTGGTGAAGATTTAATCCCAAGCGTGCTACTTTCAGCATCCAGATTTTCTTTCATTCCACTCAAGGAGGAGAGTTGATTCTCATTTTTGCCAGGTGAGCAGAGCTAGGATCCTCCTCTGGGAGGATTTTCTGTCCATGAAGGTGGTGAAGTCTCTGTCATGTGAACACGTGGGTCATTGGTACTTTCTTTTATCGCCCTCATTTGTGGAGCTCCGGTAGCCTAGTGGGTAAGGAGTTATGCTGCTAATCATCCAACATCTACTCCTCAGAAGAAAGTTAGGCCATCTCCTCATGTGCAATTTAAAGGCTTTGAAATCTGTTTCACTCTACGACATATAACAATTTTCTTAATTTGTTTCATTATTTCCTCATAGCTGTTGTTGTTAGGTGACATCAATTTGAATATGACTCTATTTGAATAGTGACCCATAAACAACAGATCTGAACCCTATCCTATCCTGTGCCATCCTCATCATGTCTGACACAGTTGAGCCCACTGTGGCAGTCACTGTGTCATCTTTTTTTTAAAATTTTATTATTATTTTGTGTGTCTGTGTACCATCAAATCAGATCTGACTGGTAAGGAGGAGATTGTCCCTCCTTTCCCGGCAGAGCATCTGGTGGATTCGAACCATGCACCCCTGGGATTGCAGTGAGTCACTGTGTCATCTTTAAAGTCAATTCTAAATGGTCAAAAATGGGAGATTAATGATGGTGAAAGTCAGAATCTTAGTCTTTTTTTTTTTATGTTGAGAACACTTCATTCATACCCACCCCCACACACAGCCTTTACTACATAGAGCAGACCCAGAATATCCCATTATATTTAACATCCATTCTTGTGGTCACATTTCTTAGGATTTCTTGACATTCCTTGTCCTATATGCTTAAAAGAAATCTTGAAAACAATTCTGTCTTTATGTAAGTCATAAATAAAATATAATTAATATCTTTTTTAATGCTGAATCTTTTTTTTTAATTTCCATTCCTTCATTGTTGCATATTTTCCTCCCTACCCAGCCCCCAAGTTCACTTTTCTCTTTGAAAAAAGATTCTTTCATTGTTGCACAATTCCGTGCCCCCACCCCCACCCTGCCCCAGTCCACTTTGCTATGTGGCTCTTATTCTGGACTGTCATGCAAACAATACTTAATTATATATTCCTCTTAAACAGTTCTTTTTCTCATCTGTTTCAATGCAGTGTACATTATTTATCCCCTCTTTTCTTTTTTTCCCTCAAACCCCATGTCAGTCCTATTTTATAACAGTGGTATTTGTCCTTTTTGTGACTGAGAGATTTCACTCAGCATAATGTCCTCCAGCGGCACCCAATTTGTATAGTATTTTATGGGTTCCTTGTTTTCCAGTGCATAATATTGCATTGTGTGAATATACCACAGCTTTCCTATCTATTCATTTGGTGATGGGCACTTGGGATGTTTCCAACTCTTTGCTATTGTGAACAATGCAGCAGTAAACATAGGTGTGCATATATCTGTTTGGGTGACAGTTCTGATTTCTTTAGGGTGTATTCCCAGTAGTGGAATTGCTGAGTCAAATGGTATTTCAATTTCCAACTCTTTGAGAAAGCATCTTACTGCCTTCCATAGTGGTTGTACCATTTTACACTCCCACCAAGAATGAATAAACGTCCCAGTTTCTCCGCCACTTCACCAGCATCTATTGTTTGCTGCTCTATTGAATTTTGCTATTGTTACTGAGGTGAGGTGATATCTCATAGTTGTTTTAAGGAAGTCAGACTCTTAAAATGTTCTCTTCCCTGAATCTTTACAGTCCTCACCTTCTGCTTCTCACATCTTGGTCACCTCCCAGGTTGAGTCATATTGATTCATAGACGACTTGAAGGCAAATAGCAACATTATTGAGTCAGAGCCAGTCTGTGTGACCAGTAGAATTGGTGAATGTGAAGATGTATGATTTCCAAATGACTGTGGTAATGAAACTTCTGACTTAAGTTCTTGGTTCACTGTTGTTGTGTGCCATCAAGTTGGAACCAACTCAGCTGGCCCTCTAGCTGGCTTCAGAGGCAAAAAAATAGCAATCGTACAGGAAGAGATTGCACATCCTCCTCTTAGGAGCAGCTGGTGGGTTTGAACTGCACTTTGGGGTCACGTTTATTCGGAGAGGAAAGAGACCCCCTGAATAAGCAAAGCACTTCCGAGAAACAAAAATTAATTGGGAGGCATAGCACTCCCGGACCTCAAAACCTACTACTCAGTGGTAGTAACCAAAACAGCATTATACTGGTACAATGACAGGCACACAGACCAATGGAACAGAATTGAGAACCCAGAAACAGACCCAGCTATCTATGGTCAATTGATATTCAACAAAGAAATAAAATCTATGAAGTGGGGATATGGCAACCTCTTCAAAAAATGGTGCTGGCGAATCTGGACTGCTACCTGCAGAAAGCTTAAACAGGATCCATACCTCACACCATACACAAAAAAATCAACTCGAGCAGGATCAGAGACCTAGGTGTAAAGCCCAAAATCTTAAAGTTCATCAGAAACAAACTGGGATCAAGCTTAGAAGGCCTAGTCTATGGTATACAGAGACTGCCAAATACAGCCAGAACTGCACAGTCTCAAGAGGATAAAATTACAATCGTATAGGAAGAGATTGCACATCCTCCTCTCAGGAGCAGCTTGTGGGTTTGAACTGCACTTTGGGGTCAAGTTTATTCGGAGAGGAAAAAGACCCCCGAATAAGCAAAGCACTTCTGAGAAACAAAAATTAAGTGGGAGGCATAGCACTCCCAGGCCTCAAAAACTCAGTGGTAGTAACCAAAACAGCATGATACCTTCTAAAGATTACATCCCTGTGCACATAAAAAACTTTTTCCCACAGGGTGAAAAGAAAACCTACCAACTGAGAACAAACATTTGGCAATACATTTCAGACAAGACAAAATGGACAAAAGACATGGAAAGAATTTTCACAAAGGAAGATATACAAAAGGTCAACAAACGCATGAAGAAATGCTCCAAGTCACTGGCACTAAGAGAGATGCAAATCAAAACCACAATGAGATACCATCTCACTCCAGTAACAGTGGCAAAGTTTAACAGGACAGCAAGTAATAAATATTAGAGAAAATGTGGCTTAGGAGCCATTTCTCATGCTTTTTTATGTGAACGGTTTGTTTTCCTATTGGACTATTGGGACACTTATTGATTTTTCAGCTCTTTATGTCTATGATAGGAATTGCAAATGTTTCTGTGGTTTAACACCACAAAATATAGCTCTGTTTACAGTGCTTTATCAAGCAGGAAATGTTCATCTTTATGTGATTATTTTAACATTTACCTTTGTTGCTTCTACATTTGTATCCTTTTTCAGAAGGGCTTTACCCCACTCTGAGATTGTTTTTATTAAACCAAGGTTTCTTGAAATACTCTGAGGGTTTGTCTCCCCTTCTCTCTTTCTCCAAATAAGATTTTGAACGATCATTATGTATTTTGGCATAAAAAAATAAAAAATAAAAACCTTCTCCAGTAGGGTAAGAAGAAAACCCACTGACTGAGAAAAAAATATTTAGTAATCACATATCTGATAAAGGAGTTATATCTAAAATTTATAGAATACTCCAGCATCTCAGCAAGAAAAAGGTAAAAAATCCAATCAGAAAATGGGCACAAGATATGAACAGACACTTCACCAAAGAAGATACTTGCTTGGTAATGAAGAACATATGAAGAAATGTTCAAAATGTCTTGCTATCAGAGAGATGCAAATCAAAACAACTATGAGATATTTCATCCTAGTTATCAATAACAAAGCTCAACAGGGCAGTAAACAACAAATGCTGGCAAACTTGTGGAGATACTGGAATTCTTATTCACTGCTGGTGGGAATGTAAAATGGTACAGCCACTATGGAAGGCAGTTTGGCATTTTCTCAAAAAGTTGGACATAGAAATACAATTTGATACCAAAATTTAACAGAGCAGCAAACAACAAATGTTGGCAGGGTTGTGGAGAGACTGGAACCCTTATTCACTGTTGATGCATGTGTAAAATGGTGCAACCACTATGGAAGGCAGTATGGCACTTTCTCAAAAAGTTGAAAATAGAAATACCATTTGACCTAGCAATTCCACTACTTGGAATATACCCTAAAAAAACCAGAACCGCCACTCAAGCAGATATATGCACACGTTTATTGCTGCTTTCTACACAATAGCAAAGAGTTAGAAACAGCCCGAGTGCCCACCAACAAACAGAGAAGCTGCAGTATATTCACACAATGGAAAATTATGCAACACTGAAAAACAAAGAACTCATGAAATACTAAACAAAATGGGTGACCATGGAGGACATTACGAAAAG